GAATCCTTGCCTACATTGCAGGAATGGTTTCTTAAAGTAGCTTATCTGGCGGAAATGGCAAAGATTTCGGCTTTCTTAAAGCAACAAACGCAAGAGAAGTTTCTTGCTGTTTGGGACAAATGGATAAAATTTATACAATTTAGATTGGGTATACAAAAATATTATATAGTTTTTTCATAAGTTTTATTTTTATATATATTATAGATAATCTTTTTATATATATAAATATAAAGTTCTTAATTTAATTTTAATTTTTACTTTTTAAGCCTATATTCTGCTCTGGGAAGCTCAGGGGGGGGGAAGGGAGGGGGGGTTTTTTGGGAGGGGTGGGGGGTTTTTTTTTTTATATATGTATTGTTTAGTTTTATTTTTTTGTATATGTTGTCTCTTGTTTTGTATTCTTTTTTCTTTTTTGTAAAATTTATAAAACTTTTAATAAAAAAAAAAAAGATTGAGAATTTGATTGCAGTTTTAAAAAGGAATAAACGTGGCTAATATTATAAAGAATTTCTTTGAATTATACATTGCTTTGGCTAACCAAGAAACACATAATTGTTTATGTTTAACTGGTTGGGAAGTGAACTCTTCTTGAAAAGAATGTGCTCATCATGCTCCTATAGAAACAGCTGTTCCTTCAACTGAATTGCGGGATATTTTATTTTATTTTATTAGACTATTTTAGATTTTGTGCGTCTTGTTCCATCTTGCATCAATATTTATTTAGTGGTGGGCTGGTTCAAAGTAGGAAGGACTTTTGACTGAGGAAAGATGAGCACAGACTGAATTCATTATCACCACCACCACCACCACCACCCTCACCACCTGGTTTATTGGAACTAAGAACAATATAGCAGCTTTTGGAAGAATTTGTGTGTGTGTTTTTCTGAAGCTTCCTGCTTCCCTCTAATCTCTAGCTGGAAAGGGATGGGGGCAAAGGGGCATTGCTTAATGTCATTAAGAGCTCGTGACTCCAGAAAGAGTAGTGTTAGCTTGTAATTAATCACCTAAGCTGGCTTTTGGTAACAAGTCTTTATTGAGTAGAAGTTTTGAGCAACAAGATGCTCTTAAGAGCTTGCAATGAGAGACAGACATTCCAGAGATGCTTTTTGCTCTAGAGAGACAGAAAGACATATGAAGAAGTTTATGAAAAAGCAAATGAAGAACAGATTTGGGAAAGAAATTCCCAGTTGTTCAGATAGTTAAAAGAGAGAACTAAGAGTTGAGTATTAAGGCAACAAACAGCATGGGGAAAATAGAACATATTGAGGCACTGGAATGACATGTCACCCAATGCTTGGGTGGCTAATTCACGTTCCTCTAGCCTAGTGATGGCTAACCTTTTACAGACCGAGTGCCCAAATACTGGCCCCGCCCCCACTCCACCCCCTGCCCTGCCCCCACCCCGCCTGCCCACAGGGCCACTCACTGCCTCCAGGGCCAACTGCAAATCGCCCAGGCAGCCCAGCAGCGCCATTACAGCCACGCCATCTGCCCGAGCCCCGCAGCATCAACTATGAGGGATGGGGTGTAAGGGCAGAGTCTTGTCTACTCTGCCTGACTGCCATGTCCTTGGCTGTGCTGCTCCACATGGGCCACGCTTGGGGCAACTCTCCTCCAGGGGGGCTGCTGGTGAGGAGGGGGTGGTGGGGGGAGGCAAGGCTGGGGCAATGGCACGTGTGCCCGCAGAGAGGGCTCCAAGTGCCGCCTCTGGCACGTGTGCCATAGGTTCACCACCACTGCTCTAGCCTAAAGCTGATGAAAACTCTCCAGAGACTTTGTTTATTTTTAAGTAAGAAAAGAAAAGCTCTTCCCTTATCAAAACACCAGTAACTGCTTACAGGACTTGGCACACTTAAAAAAAAGAATTGCTTATCAGTTCTCTAGTTTCTAAGCTATTCAACTGAAATGTGTCCTGCTTCTGCTTGCTTATCTCACCTATGCTTGGGTTCCTTTTGAGGTTCTTCAAGAAGGTGACCTTCAAGACAAGATGGCTGGCAGATTGGAACTGACCTACCTCTCGAGCTAAAAATATCACTCTGGAACAGCCCCAATGAAAAGCTTGAAAAAAAATAGCATTTGTTATTTATTTTGCCAGATCCACACATGACTTTTTGGCTAGGAAAAGTAATATGCCATTCTTTCTGAACATGTGAGTTATAATCCAACATGCAAGTACAACACAGAAATAGATTTCTCACTTGAATTCTTTATTTGCTTCTAATTTGTATCATTACGAATTTCCTTAAATTCTGCCAATCAATTTATTGCTTTCAAATGTTAGAAAATAAAGAGTTATGACTGTTCCAACAGAATTTGTTCAGAATGAATATCAAATAAATTCTACTCCTATTAAAAGAATAAAAACGGCACTGCCTTATTGAGTTTAGCTATATTCCTATTTTTTTTAATGCCCATTTCTCCTTTGAGATTTATTTCCATATACTGTATCTGAGCATAGAAAACTGACAACAGTATTTATTAGACATTGAATTAACACTTGAAGCAAATTAGGCATTGCTTAGCTAAAATCTTGCTTTCATATCCTGCTTGTTGTCTTTCTGGAAAAATCCTGCTGATTTCTGTTGAAAAAAAACAGCAGTAAAAATGGAAGTTCTGCTCTGAACTTTATGTAAAGGTTTTCCTAATCTCAGTGAATGAGTACTAATGGGGATACTTGCAAATCAGAATGGCATGGCTGAAGAGTAGAGTTGGAAATAGGACACATGGGCCAATTCACACAATACAAACTTTTAAAAACCTTCAGCTGTTGAAGAAGCTATTGTGGCCAGTTTACAGTTAATACTAAGCAATAATTGGGTGGAATTATACATTGCAACTTCACCAGAAAAATCTATTAGCACCACATGGAAGAAAACTGATACAGGGACATTTCCAGATAGGATAGGTATTGAAAGTTCTATTCTACTTTTCTCACTTGAAATTGGAATGATTGTTCTAAGTCAGCGGTTCTCAACCTATGGGTCGCAACCCCATTTGGGGTCGATCAACCATTTCATGGGGGTCGCCAAGCAAGGCTGTCTGCCATTTTTTTCCCCTTTTCCGGCGGGTGCCTTACCTCCCTTGGGCTGGGCCAGCTGGTGGCCCAGCCGGTGGTCGGCCTGCTCCATCTCTGCCACTTGCCAGCTACGCCTTGGCCGGCGCAGGGGGCGGCACCATGCATGTGCGGCGCTCCCGGGTAGGGAAAGTCCTTGACTTACAACCGGTTGGGTAGTCCTTGACTTACGACCGGTTTAGTCCTCGACTTACGACCGGTTAGGGGGGGTCACGGCATTAAGAGGTTGAGAACCACTGTTCTAAGTAGAAGAGAAGGCTTAAAGCACATTTCTTAAACTTTTTGCTCTTAGGACCCTTTCTCACTTTTAAAAACTATGGAGGACCCCAAAAGAGCTTGTGTTTGTATGAGTTATATTTATTGACATTTACTGTACATATTAAAAATTAAAATGATCCAACTGTTGAATATTTATTTATTGAATCATGCAAAAATAGCAATACCTCGCCCATCACATGTTAACATACTGTATATAAACTATTTTTCATGAAAACCTATTTTAGCAAATAAAAAACAATAATGAAAAGAGTAATAGTGCTCCAATGTTTACAAATATCTTCAATATCTGGCAAATAATTTTGATGTTGTAGATCCCTGAGCGGGGATTAAAGGAGCCTCAGGGGTCCTTAGACCACACTTTAAGAAGCGCTGGCTTAAAGGAGCGTTGGCTTAAAACCACTAGAGCTTAAAACATGATTTTACTTCTTATTCTATCCTCCCTCCTTTCTCCCCAGTTCTGATGCCATAGGGGCAACACAGAAAATGATGTTCCTGTTATTGGGTTACCAAATCTTGATAGGTGGGTATTGATTGGTATTGAAGGGATGAAGCCCACAAGCCAACCTGCCAGCCAACCAGCCTTCAATGTATGAGAAAGTAGACAACTTTATTTGGAACCATGACATGAGCATTAAGAAGTAGCAAGCGCAGTCATGGATTTTGGTTAGCTCAAAGTAATAGACTGGAATTAATTATTTCTCTTAAGAAAATGCAGTGTTTCTTGTTAAGATTGTCAGTTGACAGAATATTGTTTTGAGCTCAATATGGCAAATAAATCATCTTAATAGTTTGTAGTTTTTTGTAGAAACAAATCACATGATTTGTCGATAAAGATTCTCAGTCATCCAGGCAGAGATGTCTGAAGATTGAATCATTGAATCGTTTTAGGGGAGAATCCCCATGAGGTTGGTGTGGCAGGAATTGATACATTCCAATTACTCTCTGCCTAACCACCTTGCTCTGACTGAGGAAGTTTCCTGGATAGGCAGTGAAATGTCTCTGATACTAAAAAATTAGTCCAGTTGCAATTATTCAGCCTTCCGACAACTTTCAAACTACATGATTCAGAGTGTCAATTCTAGCTCCATTTTGTCATCCTTACTAATATATATTGCTTCAGATATAGATGCACGTTTTGTTCTAGGTGGCATGAACTTTTGTGAATAAATGGTTTCTACTCTATTTTTCCAGCTGATTATTCGAGAATAACATTCATTCTTCCAGCTAATTATTCTACATAACACTCATTCTGTCAGGTGATTATTCTAGAGCAGGGGTCCCTAACCACCAGTCCATGGACCAGCACCAGTCCACGGCATGCCAGAAACCGGGCCACGCAAACAAGCAAAGCCCCATCCGTGGAATGCAGGCAGCACATGAAGCCATGCTCCCTCCGGAAAAACCTCTTTCCACGGAACTGGTCCCTGGTGCCCAAAAGATTGGGGGCTGGTGTTCTAGAGTAATACTCAGTTTTTATCATCTGGGTTGGATTTCCTTTTCCATTTCAAATGCCATTTTAAAGTAAATTCTGTTATTTAAATCAGAAGTTGTTATCGGGAATTGTCAGAGTTTTGTTTGTCCTTATAGAAAATGACTGATCTTGTCTGGGTTTTTTACTATTTTATGTGATATCCTGTCTTTCCTTCAGGTCATGATATTAATGGAGCACTTGAACCATCAAACATTGACACCAGCATCCTGGAAGAATACATTGGTAAAGAGGACTCACAAGATATGTAAGTGTATTTTTTTCACTTTTATTCTTAATACTCAGTGACTAGAAATAGATACAGTCTTTATATTATCTCAGAATGGCAAGATGCACATATTACACAAATGGTTCAACTTTTCTCCTTCAGTTCTGATTTAGATTCCATCTCTGACATCCCAGCATCAGCCGGTTATCCTCATACTCAGCCTGCTGGCTCTGCCACTATCAATGCATCTGTCTCCAGTGTTGGTCATGTAATCACTCCTGTACCCAGTGGTAGCTTCCATCATGGTCCCCCAAGCACGCAGGTCCCAGTCCGTCATGGTCTCCATCCTGGTCCTTCAAGCAGTCAAGTTCCCCTACGGCACGCTCCCCCCTTGCCAAATCCATGTGGGTCCAGTTACAGTGCTCATCTCAACTGCAACAACAACAATGGCATGGTAGTACCCAAAGGGTTTCTCAGTGGCCACTGCCTGTCCAACATTGCCCCTCCAATCAAATCAGAAGCCTCCTACACATCTGGGTAAGTAAGGGGTTGTGGTTATGCAAATATATGTTTTCAGAGCCTTAAACTGATAAATAATTAAAGTTATTAAAGACTTAAAACAATTTGAACAAATCTGTAATGTCTCTTACCAACTAATGTCATCTTAGTCTTCAAACACAACAGTTTTCAATAAATTCTGAATATTTTATTTATTTGCACTTTTGGACACTTTGAATACCTATTTAACTTCATATAATACACTTTTTAAATACAGTTAGGATTAGAGTAGAAGTGTAAAATATGCATTTTGAATAACAACAGCAGTCTTGCAGGAAGCTGGTCATCTGGTAGAAAAGTAGTAGCTGCTAACTACTGAAGGAATTGGCTTTAAGTCAACAGTTAGAACAGTTTAATTCACATTCAGAAGATCCATTGGTATTCTCTCTGATATCTTTAGAGAGGGTTAGGAAAATTCTCTCTGGAGGGCTGCTGTCAGAACCAACATTCTAGATTAGAACTGATGAACAAACTAGTCAATAGCTAATTAGATGAGCATATGCAAACCCTAGTGTATGTTTTAAAAGGAGGAGAACTTGAATAGTTCAAAGGAGAACAAATGGGATTGAAATAATAAGCACAAAGAGTAAATGTAACTCCATACTTAAGCTCCTGGAAGTTCCACAGAATTATTCTGCTTATTGTTTGTATCAATGGTTTGATTTCAGGTTGACTATTGATGCCTGGTCAGCTTATGCAGAATGTCATTTTTACACACATTTAGAGAATGCAGAGGGATTGATTGACAGGGAAACTGAAAAAAAATACATGTGACTCAGTTTTAGGGAATTGAAATAGATCATCTGTGGGTTTACATTATAAATCCTTTTAACTCATATGTGGAATCCAGATTAAATTTCATTTTTAACAGAGATGGGATATGTTATTTCAGTGAAAAGAGAATTGAAAAAATTTAAAGAAATTATATATTTGCTGACTTCTGCAAAAGAGAATATAAAGAGAGTTGAGAAATTAGAGAAGGAATTCAGTTCTAATAAATGGAACACTGAATCTTAATTGCAGTTTGGTAGGGATGTGTGAAAATAATGCCAAAATAGAAAACCACAAGGCTGTATAAAATAGACAGGAAATAAAAAGTTATATTATAAAAAAAATTGCTAGAAAAAATATTGTGAAACAAAAGTGACCAATAATTCAAATTTCTTACAGAAACCATTATGCTTATAAAGTCAGCTACATAATGGCTTAGTAATGCTTCCTGTTGACAGAATGATTCCACAGAACATTTATGGATATTCTAATCTGCTAAAGAAGGATGAGTCACAAAATGTAAAGCATGAAGTTGGTGAGATTAAAGCAGAAGATTAGTTAGACTGAATTGACTTCTATACAAGAGTTAAAAAATGGAAGATGTGCTTGAGAAAATAGATAGACCTGGACTTCATTTGCTAACCCAGTGTTTCTCAACCTTGACAATTTTAAGGCATGTGGACTTCAACTCCCAGAATTCTACAGCCAGCATTGCTGGCTGTGGAATTCTGGGAGTTGAAGTCCACATGCCTTAAAATTCTCAAGGTTGAGAAACACTGTGCTAACTTGAGATAACACTATATTTTTGGTGTGTGTCCTGAAGATGTCTTATACCAAAATGCACCATTAGACCTTTCTTATCTTAGACTGACAAGATTAGATCATGGTTTTGTATTTACAGTTTTTCCCATCAAATAAGAGGAAATATATTTATCACCTATAAGGAATGTCCCTTATTCCAGTATGTACCTTTACTTCATACTGTACCACACCTGGGATTGCCAGTGCAGCATCTGCAGGCATTATGACAACTGTAACACCACTAGATGGCACTCACGCACCCCAAAATTAAAAAGAAATGCTGAAATCTCTGAGATTTTGACCATTTCTAATTTTTAATTATTCAAAGATAACCACCACCAAAAAAAGAACGTTCTTTTCAGTCACATAAATATTGACAGACAAATCAAGATGTTTTGTCTTGATTTTCAAAACATGCATATTTTGTTAAGATTAGGGCTACCCCAAATAACTTTTCAAATCTGGAAATCCTCGATCATGCATCTGATCTATAAAAGTCATGCAGAGAGAAATGAAATCAAGGGATAGATCTGGGATACCCATAAGACGCCTACTTGCTAGGTTGTCTGTCTTGACTAATTGCCTTTCAAAATGCTATTTAATTTTTTTTTAAAAATGAGAAGCGAGCATAGATCTACAAAGCAAACATAGCCTTCTGCATCATCTTTTTTCGCATGAATAAGTTTAGACTTTACATGACTCCATACTCAGTGGCAGCCCTAGATAGCTGCTAGGCAAACCTTGCAGTTGCTGCCACTATTCACAAATCTCAAGAAGAGTTTATTTTTTTTCCCCTTGAAATTTGGTACCGTGTTTAACTTGGTGTCTTAGAAGAATGCTGAGTTCACCTCTATGGGCCTTAACAATCTTTAAAAAATAAAAAAAGATACGTAACTGTAGGTCAAACTTTTGTTTGAAAGTATACCCACCTGTAGAAAAACAACAACAAAATAGGCAGTACCTTATTGGGGGAAAGTAACATACTGATAAATCAGTACTTAGAACAGTGGTGGCGAACCTATGGCACATGTGCCAGAGACGGCACTCAGAACCCTCTCTTGGGCACGCACGCACGCCATCACCCCAGCCCCACCACCCCCTGTGGCCCCCTCCTTACCAGCAGCCCCCCCGGAGAGTTGTCCAGGGTGCAGCCTGCCCGGAGCAGCGCAGCCAAGGACATGGCAGCCGGGCAGTGAGGACAAGACTCCGCCCTCACGGCCCATCGTGTGCAGATGATGCTGCGGAATATGGACAGAGGACATGGCCGCCATGATGCTGGGCCGCCTGGGCGATCTGCTGTGCCGGGCCATGGAGGCGGTGGGTGGCCCTGCGGGCAGGAGAGACGGGGGCGGGGCAGGGGTGAGGCAGTTTTTGGGCACTCGGTCTCTAAAAGATTCGCCATCACTGACTTAGAAGATTGCCTTTGGTTGGTGTCCAGAGGACAGAACAGATTTCCCCTGTGCTGCCTATCATCATTTTTAAGTTTGTGCCTCACATTCTTGTCTTTCACTTTCAAATTAAAATATATTTCAGTTTGCAGGTTAATTGTTTCACTGTCTTCACCAAGCTTTCTAATTCTTTTATTAGACTAAACTTAAATACTTTTGGTGCCTTAAACCATTCTGATATAACATATTTTTCTCTACTTTCATTTTCGTCTTCAAGTTTTCTTAATGTCAAAACTGTATCTGCTTTATAAAACTAATGTTTTCACTATTTTTCTGTCATCACAGAAAGTAAAGACTCTGGACCTCTAGGCAAAGGTCCACTAACTTTAAATGTTTACATGAACTATGACTAAGGGCTTGATTGTTTAGTGTATTTTAATAGTCTGAATATACTTGTGAAAAATCTATGAACTTTTTTTAGATAGACTACAGTGAGTGATAGAAGGAATCAAAGCTGTATTCTACAGTTTTATGAGACAGCGTTAGGTTCTGAAAGATGACCTATAATATTTTAAGAAAACAAAGTGTGGTATAGAAGGAAACAAATGCAAAAGTCACATAGTAGTCCAGCCAGAATTCTCAACTTATGATCAGATATTGTACTGTTGTTAAGTGTAGTAAGCTGCTGTTCAGTTACCCTGATTATCCCACCCAAGTGGGAAATTCAGAGTTGTCCTGAACTGACTCTCCATTAACTCATTTTCTACCTGGGTTTTACTCTATTTTCTTCTGTACCTCTTCACTTCCAACTGGCTTATTTCTGTTTACTTGACTTTGCCATTCAGTATTGATAGCAGTTGTTATCAGCTGTTGGAAGGTATGTATAGAATCAGACTTTTAAGGTGGGACTGACCTCATTGACCTGTTAGAAACTTGCAAGACTGCTTTATGGAAGGATTATATTTATTTTGAAATCCACCAAGAACTAGCTGTTAATTTTGAGGAATTCATTTTCAATTTTGCTTTAAAAATGACATTTATTGAAAATATTTTGTACTTTTAAGGAAATCCAAAACAATCTAAATAATTTCCTACTTTGTTTAGTAGTCTACAATGTTCTTTGCAGACTGAGGTAATACAAATATATTAGTATAATCACACTGAAAAATACATAACAATTTAACAGAAACTATAAACTTTGCTCTCTTTTGGTCTAATAATTTCTCTATTTTATATGGGTTTGGGGTTTATGTGTAGACTGTTATAATTTTTAAATGTTGCATTGTGGTATTTAATATACAAACAAACAGAAAAAGAATAACCATAGGCAAAATTAAAAGAAGACAGGAAAAAGATAAAATGAACCAGAAAGAAAACTACATGCTGAAATAAATATAAATATACATAAAATAAAAACAGTTTAAACCACATAGAATAATATTGATTGGACTTTACAAAATGCCAGTAGAAGGCCACTTTATAGGTAGAAAGTGAATGCATGTCTTCCATTTAAATTTTTAGATCAAATTTAATGGTTTTTTTAGCTATATTCCACTCATGGTAAATCAAAATTCCTCCTATTTCCCTATGTTACAAATTTCAAAATATAATATTACATTCACACTTTTATCTTCTATTTCTTTTTCCATACACCATTAGCAACCCTATTATGAATAATAAAACAAAATGTTGCCACTGCAAAACAAACTCAAAACATATGAATCCCCTCGAAAATATTATATTTCTAACAGAAAAACTGAAAGCCAACCCATATTATATATTCACTGGTGTAGCCTGCAAACACCCCCCCCCCAATAATCCTTTTTTATATTAATTTTACCTTAAGCTCATAGAATGCTAACAAAACATTCTTTAAAACTCTAGCCAGTTGGCTTGCTAAAACAGTATTTTTTCAAAGTTACTTGCAAGTTTTCAAATCTATCCTAATATTTTTTGTTCTGTATAAAAATGACCTATAAAGTAATCTACAAAACATTTCCCCGAATATTAATATTTAATTAATATTTAATGCTAATGCTTCAGGCTCAACTTATATATTATATTTATTCTTTCCTAAAAGCTGATGTAAATTTTTAATCATTTATTTATAGTAATATTAAACTGAGTTAGACAATTAAAAATATTAATCTCTGTCAGTGAGGAAATCTTTCTACAAATAACTATTCCAAGGTATTGAAATGAGTTCAAACAAAATGAATTTTTTTACAAACATCCATAGAGATCTAGATACTATACGGTAGGAAATATATTATACATTTTTTCATTATAAGAATAACCTGATAATTTACCATAGTGTTGTACAATATACTTAATTTTGATAAAGAGTTTTAATAATTATCAGGAAGGCGTAGGATAGCATTGGCATATGACAACAAACTCTAGTGTGGCTGTCTTGATACCCAAAGTATACTTACGTTGCCTAATGCAGGGGTCCCCAACCCCTGGTCCGTGGACCAGTACTGGGTTGCAGCATGCCAGCAAGCGGTCCGCACGAACAACGCACGAACAAGCAAAGCCCCAACTGTGGGATGCAGGCAGCACACAAAACCACACACTTTCCGGTCCGTGGAAAAACCTTTCTCCACAGAACCATAATAGGTTCCATAATAACAATAGGTTGGATTACCACATTGTAATGCAATCAACTAAATTGAAAGGAAAACCATATCTGAGAAAAAATGCTTCAGAAATTTTAACTGCATAATATCAAAGGCTTTTTTCATTTCCAACAAAGGAAACATAGCCATATCCGATTTATCTGTTTATGTACCAAATATATTCACTAATAATCTAAAATTGTTCAGAACTCAACACCATTTTATAAAACCAAATTTCTCAGGAGGATGAACTACAATTTGAAGTGCTTATGGAAAAATAGTGGTAAATATTTTACCACCTTTGTTTTAAAAAAATTGAGTGGCGCAGATAGTCCTTAATTTACCACAGTTGGGACCAGAATTTCTATTGCAAGTTGAGTTGGGCCCAATTTTACAACTTTTACAGTGATTGTTAAGCAAATCACCACAGTTATTAAGTGAATCACACAGTCATTAAGTGAATCCAACTTCCCCAATGGGCAACAAAAAGTTTGCAAACCATGATCATGTGACTGCAGGATGTTGCAACCAGTCACAATTGCGAGCCAGTTGCCAAGTGCCTGGCTTGCACTCACACAATCAAAGGGTGAGGTACAGTGGACGTAAGTCCAAGTATAGGTCATGAGTCACTTTTTCCAGGGCCATTGTAACTTTGAACAGTCATAAGTCGAGAATCTTGTAGTTTGTATACTGTACAGATCTATCCACTTTCAGACTTGCAAGTATGAAAGCATTGTTAAAAGAAAGAACTTTGTATAAAAAGGCATCTTGTAAACTTTCAGCTTCATATAAATGAGAAGGTCAATGAAATCCTTATATCTGTATATAGAAAAACCACCAGGAATAGAAGCTTTGCCTAATTTCACAGACTTAAGTAATAATGGGGCAGCTAAATAAGTTGCTTGATCCTGAGGAATCTTTGGAGAAGATTATTTTATTTACAAAAACATTAATTCATATTCTTTGTCATTCTTAGCTTTGCTTGAAATTGCTTTCTATGTAATCTCAGGGCTACTTGATGAAACTACAGCTTGACCCATAGATTTACAGAAACATTGTCAGTGGGTCCATCTTTGTATGTGTGGTGAAGATGGTGATCTTCTTGAGCAACATATTCTATCTGGCTTCTTTCAGACAAGGAAAACCTGCTGAGTGAAGTAGGGTGGTTTTCTTTAGCAGATAAACAAAATACCCATGATATGAAATGCCTAAGAATAATATATCAAAATGCTCCTAGTAGGAATAGTATAAACTGGAACCCGGTATGAGAGAATACCTGCTAAAAACACCTCAATCTTTTTCACTGGGGAAGGGCTATAGTTAATTGTTTGGAGTGTTAAGAGTGGAAGGTTTCCTGCTACTCTGGGCAGGAGCAGCTATTGACAATTAAGGGCTTTGGTGGAAGAGAATCATTACTGGATGACCTGCTATATTTGGAGATAAGATTGAGTTCAGGTTCAGAAGCATTTGTATTCAAGAACCTTGAGGACATGACAAATTCATACTTAATTTCTGCTAACCAGGGGTGGTGTAGATAATGGGGCTATATACTCTCTCAGTCATTCTACCTAGCATTCAAAATCTATTTTACCTTATCACTTCTGTTAGACATTTGTTTGACCTTTTCCTCTCTTTTTCTCAATTGCTCTTCAGCACTTTACCCGACTCTCCCCCAGATTCCGGATCCGAAGCTTACTCCCCCCAGCAGGTGAATGGTAAGTGCTAAGATTAGAGCCCAAGCACCAGCCTTCCCCCCCTCTTTGGTTGGCAAAAGTGGTTGGCTCTAAAATCTTTATCAGAAAAGGGAAAAACAGACTGCTGCAATACGTGAAGAGATTATCAGTTAGTAAATATTCTTAGACTTTTGCCTATTGTTTTCCCACTACCCTTTTAGAAAGGGGGGGTTGGGTGGGCAGGACCAAGAACACAAGACTGCGTGGGAAGGGAAAGGTGTACTTCTTCCTTCCCAGAGAGAAGGAGAAACGGATAAGATTGACCTGCCCTATGAGGACACGAGCGGAAGGATTAAGCCTGATTTTGTTGGGAGAACATGCAGTTAGACTCCTGCAGGTTTATATAAAGACAAATCCATGCTGGAAATGAAGAACAAAACAGAGGTATTGTCATGAACTTGTTTTTAGGTGGTGAGTATACTCTGTGGCTCCTGCCCTCTCTTTGTATGCTGTATTTGATGTCAAGGACTCTCTTCCCATTCTTGTGACAGGCACAGAAATCGTAGGTACATCACAGAGGGTGGGTCTTTCTCCCTCTCCCCCTCTTTCTCTCCCCACGCCCCCTTAACCAGATGGTGCCTGTTCTGTGCTGCCCAGGCTTTATATGTGTGAAAGGGGAGAATTATGTATCACTAGCTACTTTCGTTGTCTTTTTCTGAGGTTGAGACAACAGAATTAGCAACAGAGGCAAAAGAATTAAAAGCATGGTCCTGTCTGTGGCAGCCTTCGGAGGTTTCCCCGTGGCCCCTTCTTTTAAAATTTAAACCTTGTTCGTTTTGGAAGCAGCTCCTTCTCCTTTCTCTGTGAAAAAGGTCAAGAGTTCTTTTTATCTCACTACAAAAATCCCTGGAATTCCTCCTGGCCCATTTTTAAATATAGCCAAGAGGCCAGAATATTTGCCACAGAGTGAACTGCTTTCTCTCACCATTAAAACAACAGCACCTACCTCATCATCCTGGGGGGGGGGGGAGTGATATTGGAACTTTAGATTTTTGGGGTAATACACAAACTCCTGGAAGCTCTGGAGTATGTATAAAGAGTTGCATTTGTGATCTCATAATTTCTAGAATTCTTCTCTTATTTTGAGAGAGGCGTTCACATGCCAGGTAACCTTGAGACGTGAAAGATGAGATAGCTTTTAGGAACATATGTGTTGCCTCAGCGTTTATTCCATTCGATTTTCAAACAATAAACATTTGGATTTGCTGTTGCTCCTATGGGTGCCTACTTAGTGTGTTACAAAGCCTAAAATTGTTTGAAAATTGAAATTGTAGTAGGACTTCAGTATCATCTAGAGTACAGTTCTGTGACCACACCTTATCTTGAAGTAGTGAAAAAATAGTTTTTGTTAAATATTTTCTTTTGTCTGTTCTGAAACAGCTGCCAACCATTATCATTCCTAAAAGTTCTGGTGGAACTGGGTGTTTGTGGGGAGTGGGGGTTGTGAGATGGGATTTCCTTTGTCATTTGATGTCATTTCTATGCTGCAACCTTTATTCTAACTTTAGCTTATTAATAAACATATTTTAATTTGCACCCAACTTCACAATAAACTTTTGTCATAGTTATTTTTTTTTAAGAAAAGAAATGGGAGAATGCTATGTACTACTTTTTTATTATGTTTTATGTCCGGCCTCCTCTGTGTTTAGTCCTCCCTCCCCTTAATTTCATAATCATTTTTGCTTCCTCTGTTAATGCATCCGCCTTCAGAAGAATCTGATTAATTGCCCTGAGCATTAATTATTTCATTCCAGTAACTTTAAAAGGTTGTGAGGGCACCAAGTCTGAATTTGTTTGAATGGAATATTCATTTTCCAAATTCTCTTTGTTATTTGTTTTCTGTGGGTGGATTTTTTGGAGGAACCTGTGGATGTTGGGAAGTCAGAGAATAACGATGGGAAGAAATGAGGACAAAAGGATACCTATTGGATAAACTGAACATCCTATTATTTTGCACTGATCATTGTACTGTTGATCAGTGCAAAATAATAAGACATTCCCAGTTATCAAACTGTGGCCATCAGAATCAAGATGAACTCCAAGTTTGGGATGAACTCACACTGCTTGCTTCTCATGAGCTAAAATATGTAATGGAATAGTTTAGGCACCCAGTTTATTTTCACAGCACTGCTAAATAAAAAGTTTGGTTCAAGGACACTATTTCATGTTTGTTTTGTTATAGTCTGCCTTTCAAAAATGGTTTAATAAAATGTGCATGAAGTCCACTTTATTTCTATTTATATATACACATAACTGTACATATATATATATACACATATCATAGGATAAACGCATACACCCATATAATATACATCTATAAAAATACTTTAATATTGGTTTAACATTTAAGTAGCTTCTTCAGTTTCAACCATTTCTAATTACTGGTCCTAAAATGGAATGTGCATAGTTAAAAGTGCTGTTTGACTGCAGGGTAGAGATGGAAGAATGTATGAACTGCTGGTCTTTCTAAGCCATAATAATACTTGCTTCTCTTATTGATTTTGCTGGCCCGAATAGTATTATAGTGATCAAAATTAAACCCTCTTCTTCCATTCTGAATCCATGTGTTACCATTACAATCACATCCTGTATTATGTGGGGGTGATGTTCATCTGGGGGGTGGCCACCAGATTGGAGAAGGCCACACTAGTAAGCTTGGGGAAAATCCAATATCTCTAAGCAGATTTGTCTTTTTTACCTCCCAAGTATCTTATAATTCAAACCATGTTAATTCTGGCTTTGAATGGAACCTCTTATAGTTAATAAGAGTGTTAGCCCTATACTCTGACAGAGCAAAGCCCTATGTACATTTCCAACTTTAAATCAGGCTTCAAAGTTAAGTAAACTTTTGATCTGTTGTACTAAGGAGGGATGTGAACTTGAGTCAAGGGCTTTGGTAAATGTTCTGCAGATACTTTCTACAAGTTATAGCCTTCTAAATGAGATAGACTGCAACTTTCACTTGTTTCAGCCATTAGCTATGAAACTTTCACTTGTTTCAGCCATTAGCTATGATAGCTGTGGATGATGGGAGACACTTGTTATGCTAAGCAACACCCTTAAATGGCAATACTTTTTTCAGAAAGTTTGCTATATAGCAGGGGTGTCAAACTGCCAGTCTACAGGCCGGTTTCATCACACCGAAGCCACACCCATCCCATTGCCTGCAATGCAAAAAGAGTCGCGATATGTCACGACATATCACATGACGTGGTGAGTTTGACACCCGTGCTTTATAGTCTATCCCTGTAATGTAATTACCTTTACAAGCATTATGAGCATCAGAAATTATAGGCCACTCCTAAAAATTATAAGCGGATTTGTTGTATTTTTCCTTTTTGCTAACCAAGTGGCATGCAATGAGTATTTATGATTGGAAATGATTATTTGCTCAAATGAATAAAATGGTTCCTGTATGAACTACTTTGAAATTAAACCTTGAACAGGATCCATCGAGCTCATTTTGCAAACATGTTTATTATTTCAAACATAGAAAAGCTAAGAGGTTGGTTATTAATTTGCTTCTATTCCAAAATAGAAAGTTTATTGTCTCTTTGTATGGATCCTAGTGTATTTTTATCCAACAGTTCATGCTTTTTCAGATTCAGTATTGTCTTAAGAGATAATGGATCTTTCTCCATTACTAAGTTATAGAACTAGATACCCATGTTTGAGCTGACAAAGAACTGATAACATTAAATTTGCTGCTCCCTCCTTAATTCCTATTCTGTCTCAGTTCTTAATCATTGCCAGTAATTCAATTTTCCTTCACTAGATAATGTCAGAGTAAGGTGGAAAACATTACTTCAACTTCAGTATAGTTAAAGATGACTTCAGCTTATCTCATTCATGGAGTTGGAATGAGAAGAAAGCAGAATCATGTATGTGTGGTAGAAAAAAGTTCCTGGGGCAGAACTGAAAAGAAAGAAGTCATGATAGGTGCAGCTTTGAATGGAGAGAATAAACAATAAAGTGGAGTGGGAAGGGACTTATAGTCAGTAATAGAGTAGAATATGAATGGTGAATAATTACAAAGAAGCTGTTAATATGTATTTCTGGAGAGAGTAATTAGTAGGAGACCAAAGTTAAAAAATGTAGTTTGCTCCCTATTTCACATTACTGCTCTTTATTTTTATAAACAAACTCAGAACAAAGTCAGAACATGAAATAAGCAAATATTAATATTTCCTATGATATATAAACATAACTAGTTCTAGCTTTTTTCCATTATGCAGAAGGATAGTATATCAGACCAGTCATATAACACATTTCTTGTTTGGCTTTCAGCAGTCTCTGATAGTGTTTTTGCTGGATTTGAACGCTAAAATCTTTTATTTTTTATGTTTATTCTTATTCTTTTTAATTTATTTATTCTAGACTACACATAATTATATTAAAATGTTTTAATTGTTAATACATTTTGTATAATATACATAGACACAGACATGCATGCACACAAGCCATAGATGTGCATACACATAGTCATACTAGCTGTTTCCTAAAATTTAATTCATTTGATAGAAAACTAAATTTATTTCTCATTAAGTAATGTGGTTGAGTATTTGGACTTATTTTACTAATTGTATGCATGCACATGCTGTCTGTCTTCTGTCTGTCTATCTATCATCTATCTATCTGAGTATGAGCAATTGACAATCCTTGGGCTATAAGCAGCTCCTAAACCATTTTTTGTGGCTGTGGGATTGGTCAAAGTCACACTGCTGAAAGTCAGTGACAAGCTGTCAAATAACATTAACAGTTTTGTATCAAATGCCAGCAAGAAATAAATATAGCTTCAGTGAGCATCTATTAAATTTAGTACCCTTATTAATGTCCTATTAATGTTTTTTTAAAATATAGAAAAGGGCTCAAATCTGGCTATTGCCCTTTACAAATGTTGCTGCATTATCGCCATGCAACTCCCAACTACTGGTGAAAAAGCTGATAATCTACTTGTTGTTTTAATGAAAGCTGAAACTCTAAAGAGAGGGCCTGGAATGTCTCTATTATTGAACTGACATTTTGTATTTATTATTTTGTGCTGTTCTGACTGAGAGCCGAAATGGGATGATTGATCATGGTGTAGGACTTCTGAAAAAAGTGAACTGACACTTTTAATTTAGATTAATCCATCTTTCTGGTTCTTTTTAGATCCTCACCTTCTTCGAACTATGACTCCTGAGAATATGTGTCAAATTACTCCCCCTTCACGGTTAGAGCATCCCCCACCCCCACCCCCTCCACCCCCACCCCACCTTCAGGGACTGCCACCACCACCTCCTCATTCACACCAGCAGCAGCACAGCCATCACTATCCCAACATGCAACGGGACATGTACGCGAAGGCTGAACCTCTGATGCCACAGTTCACTATAGGGCAAGGCATGTCACCTGGTGACCTCCATCATGCTCAGCAGTCGCAGATGCTTCACCAGCTACTTCAACAACATGGAACAGAGTAAGTTCTTTGGGAACAAGGTTGGAAAGGTAGAAAAGGAGGAGCGCCTTTATGACTGGAACCTTTTTGCCTCTTTATGCTTATTTCATTTCTGAAGTAATGGGCAGCTTTAAGTAACAGTGAAGCTCCCATCGCCACCTCCAAAACTGGTAGGGCAAGCTACTGTACATACTGTAAACAGGGAGCAAGGCCCACACTTGCTTCCAGTGACGATGTCACCTAGTTGGGTAAGGAAACATCTGCAAACAAACAACCAAGCTCAGAGCATCAAGGACGTCATAGTTCAACCCTAAACTATAAGTTCTCTTGGAACCTATTTTATTTTTATCTCCATTCACTCTGCCAGCAGTCATTTAGCTTTAATTTTCATCAAGATTGCTCTATCTTTTTGCCTTTTTTATTGGTAACCATTCCTTGCTCTGTTTGATTGCATTCTGTCTAATTCAATATCTTTCTCTCAATCTCGTTTTGCATCCTCATCCTCTTATCAGCCTCTTTTCACTTCTTTATTCCATCAGTCATCCCTTTTCATTAGTGTTAAGTCAATTATTTTCATTATTTAATTATTTTCATTCTAATCCAAACAGCTTCCAACTTCTTTCTCTTTTTTTCTACTTTCCATTCCTTATTTTGAGAGATTAATCTGCATTTTAATATTTTTCAATATGACTTAACACATGTTCTTCTACCTGTAGTCAGTTTAGTTTCCTTCACATTTTTGTATTTTTCTCCATGCCCATCATTTCCACAAGATATATTTTGGACACTAAATAAATAATGATCTGACTCACATTCAAAACTTATCGTTCTTGCATCCTTCAATCGTTTTTGCAATGTTCCATCATAATCAAAATAAGTTTTGGATTAATTTTTTATGTTTCTATGTAAATAGAGGTATATATAACAGTATATTTAAAACAAACACTTTTCTTAGCTTTTTTTCTGACAAATAATCTCTATTCTCCTCCATTCTTTGGTCTCCCAATGGCCAGCTCGTTTCTCTGTGCACTTTTATCTCCTCCTACTCCTTCATTCATGCAATCTAACAGATTTTTTAAAAAAATCCTTGTATTACTGCACAATTTTTCCTAAAACATATCTTTGTTTCTACCATTATTACCACTTACTGGAACATAGTATGCACAATCATCAGCTTATAGTTTTTCACATTCACAATAATGTATATAACATCAATTCAAACTCTGTGGCATATAGTTTAGTTCTTTCATTCATAATTAAACCTATATTTTCACCTCTGTTCATAAATTCATCAATATTAACAATATGAAACTAACTCTATTTAAATTGATTACATCCTTCTCCTTTCTGTTAGTTTCATAAATATGCACAACATATTTATTTTTCTTTTTTGCATTTTTTTATTTCATGCTCTTTGCCATTTACTCCTCTTATATTCAAAATCACAGAATTTCGTATGCTGTGGAGAACCCATGGATACTGTCCTCATTATCCAATAATGGATTTGGTCAGCAGAGGTTTTCACATAATATTTTTAGTAGAAGTTATAGATTAGATCTTAAACATATATATATATATATATATATATGCCACGTGCAGCATTTACTATTAATGATAAGAATGGTATAGGTCAGTTTTGGATAATATGCCGGAACTGCAGTCAAACCAAGTTTTATCCCAAGCATGTTTATATTATTTTATGCAAACTAAGATCTCTAATATAGGGACCTCTTGAAAGCCAATATGCTGTTGCCTGCATCCCACCAATTAGAAGTCACGTGCAGTATATTGGTGCATAAGATGCTGGATGACATTCATTTTTTGCTTCATTATATAACCATGTCAGACTGTTATTACAAATGCATGCAGATAAGTCAGGGTGTGACTGTAGGTTGAAGGCTAGTAATCTAATTTAATCTTTCCTACTGGAATAACTTTATGCCTGGGGTAGAAGACGTCTGTGCGTATCTGTGTGGGTATATAATACACAGTATATATACACACACACACACAGGCATACGTAGGCTAAATTTGAATAAATATTTCCTTTGTATGCCTGTTGTAATTTATGATTGATTTCTATAGACTTCCAGTGCACCCTGCCAAGAAGAGGAAACACTCAGAGTCACCATCAAACACTCTCAATGTGCAGATGTTCAATGGAATGATAAAACAGGAGCCAGGTACAGGATCTGTGCCCCTCAACTCTGACAGAGTTCAAACACCTCCCTGGCATCAGCAGGGGGCGCTCTCCCCAGGTTTGTACAGTAGTTATTCTTTCTATTCCTTTCTAGGATTACCAGTACCCAGATACTATTTATGCTCCAAAAAGGTAGTTTTTTAAAAAATTAAGTAATACATGGAGAATAAGGGATGGTGTCTGGGCTGAAGCTCACAGAATGGCAGTGTGTTTTCAGGAGAGCATCTTTGTACAACTGCATTGGGAATTGGAAGTGAGAAAAGTCTCACTTCTTAATAAAAAGAAAAGAAAACTGACTACAGTTAGTCTTCAACTTATGACCATTCATTTAGCAACCATTCAAAGTTACAGTGGTGCTGAATAGTGCGACTTAACGACCATTGCTCATGCTTTCAACGGTTGGAGTGTTCCCATTGATATGTGAATGTGAGCAGGCACTTGGCAATTGTTACACATTTTTATAATGGTTGCAGCGTCCCACAATCACGTGATCGCCATCTGTGACCTTCCCAGTCAGCTTCCAACAATGATGTCTTGCTTAACGACAAGATTTCTGGTTCCAATTGTGGTTGTAAATTGAGGATTACCTGTATTCCTTGAGGTCAAGGCGAAGAAAATAAGAATTTATGGGTTTTGTTGCATAGCAAGTGAGGGATGGAAAAGTAGGATAAATAGTTTGTATCAGGTTTGTAGGAAAATTTCAGTTCAACATTTTTTCTATTGCTGTAGGACTGATTCAGGATAATGACAGCTTGAATAGCTCCTCCTATTTGGATCCCAACTACCAATCCATAAAATGGCAGCCACATCAGCAGAACAAGTGGTCGACCCTGTATGATGCTAATTACAAAGAGTTGTGAGTATTTACAATCAAACGATTGTAGACTTCTCTGCCTAACAGTTTTAACAGCAGGGTCCACTCAAGACTATGATGAAGAGACATTTCACACCTCACAATTTAGGGAATCTGATGTTCAATTTTATTCTGCTTTTCATTTTCCTACCTTTAAATTTGTTATATCTCACTTCAACACTACTTTGTGAATTTGTTTTTTTTAAAGTTTGCCTAAAGATTCCTAACACATTTTTGGATAGATTGCTTTATAATGTGGTGCATTTTTGTATACCCTTCTTTTATTCATTCATTCATTCATTTATTGCAGTTATTTCCCGGTTAAAATGCATTGTGGGCATTTCCATATGTATATAATATTTCAATACCTCTTATTTATTATTAAACAAATCTACATAGTTGCCCATCTCATTGAAGGTGATTCTGGATGCGGCTCACAATAAATGGGGAAAAAAACATGTAAAAAAAAACACAGGTTAAAAAAATTAAAAATCACTGTAACACTAAATATTATAAAATCAGAGATACAAACTGTAGGCAAAGAGGGAATAAAAATAGCCAGCTCCATAATGGAGCCAGTTAAGCATGTTTCTGGTTCCAATGGAACCTCCAGACCTGATAACATAACCAGGTCTTGAGGACCTTCCAGAATGTCAAAAAGGATGGAAGTAATCTAATTTGGGGTGGGGGGGAGAGAAAGTTCCATATGGTGGGTGCCCTGACAGAGAAGGCATGTTTCCTGGAACCCACCTAATGTAGGTCCTTAGCTGATAATACCCAGAACATTCCTACTTTAGATCTAGATCTAATGATATGGCTAATGTAACCAGTCATGCAACTAATGGGACCCAGAATCCAGAGTCATTCAGTCTTGCCAGGGTTCAGCTGAAGCCTGTTGTTCCCATCCAGACTCTCACAGCCCCCAGACACTGGGATAGGACCTCTTCCTATGTACTCATGTCTTGAATCATGGAGTTGAGCATCAAGTGAGTTTGAGGTTTCATTTTTGTGAATAAATATAATTATGTCAATAAATTATCTGTATTCTAGCATAGAGGTGTCTGCAATTTAAATCTTGGCGCACTGAGTGGAAGCCTTTAAAAAAATAGAGATATGAGTAGAAAGGGGTGAATTGTGACTATTTTTGTGCTAGCTGTTCATCAACCTAGTTCATCCAAAATAAATTTTGGGTTGCATTTTTAATGTACTTTTTAAAAAGGGGGTTTCAGGAAAGGGGAATATGTTCTGTGATTACAATCAGCAACTGTTTTATCAGTTTGGAAACAGCAAAAGGTTACCATGAAAAACTGATAGGTGATAAAAATTGAAACAGAACTGATAATATAATGAGTTCTATTACTAATTACATTATTAGTTCTGAAGAGAGAGCACATTTAGGAAAGAGCAATGAGAATTGGCTTCTAGGAGAAATGGTGCAAGATGAGGATGGTGAGATATGGAAGTGTCACAGGTGAAAAACTAAAAGGGGAGTTAAAAAGAAAGAGGGAAGTTTAGGTACAGTGTGCACTGAAAATCCCCTTGGGATCTGGGTGTTTAAAACTATTTAAATAACTATTGGTGAAGAAAAAAGAAATATGGGTGAATAAAGAATAATAGAGTCGGACGTAATCTTGGAGGTCTTCTAGTCCAACTCCCTGCTTAAGCAGAAGATCCTATACGATTCTGGATAAATAGCCATCTAGTCTCTTCTTAAATACCTCCAATACTGGAGCATTCTGGAGGCAAATCGTTCCACTGATTAATTGTTCAAACTGTCAAGAAATTTCTCCTTAGTTCTAGGTTGGTTCTCTCCTTGATTAGGTTCTATCCATTGTGTCTTGTCTTGCTCTTAGATGCTCTGGAGAATAGGAGAAGATGACTGCTATCATGTCACCCCTACTCCTTCTCTTCATTAAATTATGCCAGGGGTCTTCAAACTTGGCCCTTTTATGACTTGTGGATTTCAACTCCCAGAATTCCTCAGCCAGCGTGCCTGGTTGAGGAATTCTGGGAGTTGAAGTCCACCAGTCATAAAAGGGCCAAGTTTGAAGACCCCTGAACTATGCTGTGTTGTTGTTATATTAATTATATTACATCACATTACATTACATTATTAATACATTATATTGTTACGCTATATTGTTGCTATGTTTAGAGAAAGGCATAGAAAGAAATTGGGTGCATGATTTATAGGACAATACAGATGCCGAGGCTGGAGAACAATCCAGGTGACTTATATGGACATAAGAAAGGTAAAGAAGCAACATAAGGTGAGAGCAAGAAGCTGAGGAAAGCCAGCTTACAGAGTAGAGTTTATAGGGCCAGAAAGACAAATGTTCAAGGGTAAAAAAATGCCGCACATCCTCCCCACATTCCAGAAAGGTGATAGAGAACTGGCAGCCAGCCACATGGATTCTGGGAATGACCTCCTTTAAAAAACAATCCTCTCCATTTGACAGCTTGTATCTCTTGTTTGTCTCATTTGTGGAGAAAGGGAACCTTGCCTTTTTGGGATGCTAAATAAAATGAGATGGTTATCTGCCTTCATGAGAGCAATCTGGAGAGCAAAGGCCAGTGATTTACATGAAAGCCTGTAGCATCAGAAAGAGGCTGCCCTTGAATGGCCTGGGATACCCAAACAAAGTGTGGTCTCTCCAGGGCTGCCTTCCCAAGGTCTTGCAGAAGGCAATTTATCTAAGTTCCTTCAAGGTATAGAATGGGAGTATAGAGTAAGATATTGATGTATTGGGCCAACAAAGGGCAAATTAGTGCAAAAGATTTTACAAACCCTTCCTCTGAACAATTAAAAATCAGTTCTATCTGAGCAGGTTTTTTTTTTTAGAAAAATATGTATCAGGGTAAAAAATAATTAATACAGTGTGTAGTACTTTCAAATTAAAATTTAATAAAAGTGTATTTTACACTTAACAGTGGTACATTTTAAGTTATTTATTCGTTGGATCTTTTTTTCTTAATTTTTTTAGCAAATCATCATCATCATAATAGTAAAGTTGGAAGGGACCTTGGAGGTCATCTAGTCCAACCCCCTGCTCAGGCAGGAAACCCTACACCACTTCGGACAAATGGCTGTCCAGTCTCTTCTTTAAAACTTTCAGTGTTGGGTCATTTAGTGCTTCTGGAGGCAGGTTGTTCCACTGATTAATTGTTCTCACTGTCAGGAAGTTTTTCCGTAGTTCTAGGTTGCTTCTCTCCGTGATTAGTTTCCACCCATTGCTTCTTGTCCTGCCTTCAGGTACTTTGGAGAATAGCTTGACTCTCTCTTCTTTGTGGCAGCCCCTGAGATATTGGAATACTGCTATCATGTCCCCCCTTGTCCTTCTCTTCATTAAACTAGACATACCCAATTCTAGCAACCGTTCCTTATATGTTTTAGCCTCCAGTCCCCTAATCATCGTTGTTGCTCTTCTCTGTACTCTTTCTAGAGTCTCAACATCTTTTTTACATCGTGTGACCAAAACTGGATGCAGTATTCCAAGTGTGGCCTTACCAAGGCATTGAAGAGTGGTATTAATACTTCACGTGATCTTGATTCTATCCCTCTGTTAATGCAGCCTAGCCCTGTGTTGGCCTTTTTGGCAGCTGCAGCACACTGCTGGCTCATATTTAGGTGATTGTCTACTAGGACTCCGAGGTCCCTCTCACAGTTATTACTATTGAGCATGGTGCCACCTATGCTGTACTTGTGCATTTGGTTTTTCTTGCCTAAATGTAGAACCTTGCTTTTTTCACCATTGAATTTCATTTTGTTAGTTAGTGCCCAGTGTTCAAGTCTGTCCAGATCCTTCTGTATCTTAAGCCTGTCATGCTTTAGCATTGAGCCTTCGGGGCTCTAAATCAAGGCTTTTCAACCTTTTCACCCATTGTACCACTTTTAGGATATGGCAGTATCCAAATACCACCAGTTGCCTAGCAAAGTGTCAAAAACTTGATGACCAAAAAAAAAAAAAGAGGAAAAAAGTGATAAAGTACAGGTAGTCCTCGACTTACAACAGTTCGCTTAGTGACTGTTCGAAGTTACAATTGCACTGAAAAAGTCCGCCCAAGCCACAGCCGAGCAAGACACCTGCCTGCCCACCCAGCAGTGCTCTTCCTCCTGTCCGAGGTTTTCATTGTTGTGAGCATTTCTGTTGAGGATTGGCAGCAGGGGTGGGGGGGGGTGTTTGGTTTTTATTCCCCCTGCCTGCTGGGTGGTTGCAGCAGGTTTTGGTCACTTCACATGACCCTGGGACACTGTGACCATCATAAATATGAATCAGTTGCCAAGCATCTGAATATAAATCATAAGACCCTGGAGATGCTGCAACATTCCAGCTGATTGGCGCTTCTTCTGGGCTCAGCAGAAGCACCAGGATCAGCGCTGAGCTCCAGCTGGAGCCTGGCGCTGATCCTGGCGCTTCCACTGAGCCCTGACAGTCCTGCAGCTCCAACCATCTCTTGCTCAGGCTTGTGTGGTGCTGCCACCGGTTCAGTTCATTCCCCTCGCCCTCCCACTTTTCTAGGATGGTTGTGCACCACCTGCCAGGTACCAATGTACCACAGGTGGTACCCGTACCACTGGTTGAAAAGCTCTGCTCTAAATAAGCAGGGATTGAAAGTTGTAGAGTTTCTAGATATTTCTTCAATGCAGCAAAATTGAGGGATATTTTTGGAGTCAGTGCAGGTAGCCTGCCTCTGACCTTGTCAAACAGTATTTTTTTTTCTAATTTAGGAAAGGACTTCTGCTATAGTTATGCTACAGCAAGGCTGGGAGGAAGGGACGATAACATCATGATCTCATAATGAAGCTTTGTTTTTAGAAGTGAGTTAGAAGTGAATTTTGCCAGGTTGCTAAGAACAGCTTTGGTAATTAAGGCCCTCAGTAAAATGAAAGAGAAAAAAATTCATCCATTTTTTATTTCAGAATAAGCCCACCTCTTGCCAAAAATAACAGAGAATTTGTTTGCCCGTTCCTGAAAATGTGCCAGCATTCTCCTATTTTATGA